AAAATAAAATAAAATAAAATAAAATAAAATAATAAAATAAAATAAAATAAAATAAAATAAAATAAAATAAAATGCTGTAGCCAGAGAGCAATAGAAGCATCATCATCAAGTCCACAGTTGGCGCAGTCGCTTTATTTTTTGCACAAAATTCTTATGCTAGCAAAAGTCAGAGCATGTGATGTGAGCCGCTCTGTCAATCCATTTAAGCTTCTTAGTGCTCAAAGCTGCTGAAAGAGAATGGAATGTGAAGTGAAAATGCCACACGGGCTGCAAAGGGAGACAACTCCGAATTCTTGAGACCTTCCTACCAGGGAAATCCAGATAGAAAAATAAAAGGTCATCACAGATAAAAGTCCTGCGCTAGGTTCATTTCCAGGAATAGCTGAAGCCAATTTTCTGAAAAATTTTTCTGAGAAATGTCTGGGATAGGAAGGTTGATGAGCATCTTGGTGCTTTGGAAAATGTTCTCCAATTCCTATGACCTTTGCAAAATCTTCCCTACAGAACGTTCATGCCTGTGAATAAAATGTGTTAGTCTGAAAAGATGGAGCCAGACTCCTCCTAGTTTTTAGCTATCAATGTTTAGCTACCAATGGTATAGGGCAGTGGAGGCAAACCTATGGCACACGTGCCAGAGGCGGCATTCAGAGCCCTCACTGAGGGAATGTGCGTCATTGCTCCAGCCCCGCCTCCCTCTGTGTCCCCCTCACCAGCAGCCCCCCCAGAGGAGAGTCACCCCCAGGCACGGCCCGCGTGGAGCAGCGCAGCCAAGGACATGGCACCTGGGCAGCGGGGACAAGACTCCATCCTTGAGCCCCGTCATGCGCAGATGATGCTGCGGGGTGTGGGCGGAGGGCATGGCCGCCATGGTGCTGCAGGGCCGCCTGGGCAATCTGCTGTGGTGGGCCGTGGAGGCGGTAGGTCTCCCTGTGGGTGGGCGGGATGGAGGCGGGGTGGGGGCAGAACAGGGGCAGGGCGGGGAGGGTTTTAGGCACTCTGTCTCTAAAAGGTTCACCATCACTGGTATAGGGTTTCCTGCCTGAGCAGGCGGTTGGACTAGAAGACCTCCAAGGTCCCTTCCAACTTTATTATTATTATTATTATTATTATTATTATTATTATTATTATTATTATTATTATTATTATTATTATTATTATTATTATTATTATTATTATTATTATTATTATTATTATTATTATTATTATTATTATTATTATAACATGAAACTTCTCCACCAATATCTACAATGTTTCTTATAAGGTAATCCACAAGTCCCACAAGTTATAACAGAATAACAGAATAGCAGGGTTGGAAGATACCTTGGAGATCCTATAGTCCAACCCTTTGCACAACCCGGAGACCTGTACCATTTCAGACAAATGGCTGTCCAATCTCTTCTTAAAAGCCTCCAGTGATGGAGCTTCCACAACTTCTGAAGGCAAATTCCGTTCCACTGGTTATATATATATATAAGCTCAGGATGTTACAACACAGCCAACCACCCAGGATGTTGCAACACAAAACTCAGGATATCACTACACTAGATCTCAGGATGTCATCACACAGCCCATTACCCAGGTCGTTACAACACAAAAGACTAATGGGCACACAGCCAGCACCTCAGCTACTCAGGATGTTACGAAACAGCCGAACAATCCACAGACAATAACTCCAACACAGCCAACCAACCCACCTACAGCAACAAAGCCAGCACTCCACACACACACACACCAATATTTATAGAGAGACGGCAGCTCCGATCGCACTTTGCTCGCACAAGCACGAAGCCGAAGACCCCAGCCTGAAGATGACGAGTGGGACCTCGTCGAAACGTCACCAAGATACTCTCAATCTTACACGGGAAAAGACCCGAATACGCCAAGACCTGCATATATAGTTTGTCTTCTTATGTTGTTCATAAGAAGAATAAGAAAAGAAACAAGAGTGACAAACTTTCCCTTTTTCACCACTTTAATAATATATGAACCGATTCATCCTCTTATCCTTTTCTATTGAAAAAAAGACCTATTTTCTTTTCTGTGATCCACTGAACTTGATGACTGAATTGTTTCCGTCTCTGGTTGTGCACAGAATTGTCCACTAGCCAAGTGTTTGTGCAACAAAGCTAGGAATTGCTATCGTTAATTAGCAGAGGAGAGCCCAATTAAAGCGTTGGACTTGTTATGTTACCAGTAAGATGTGTTTTTAACGTCGACTCACAAATAATATCAAATCAGCACATGGCTGTCCATTTCATCAGATTCCTGCTTGTGTTTTTGGCAAGGCACATCATTAGTAATCCTTTTTTTCCCCATTCCTGGCATTCCTGGCCAGAATATCTAATCCCTGATGGGCTAATATCCTTCCGTTTCTCTTGTGTAACGAACTCTTTCATTATCAAATGCAAAAGAGAATAAGAAGTTCAAACAAGTAAATAAGGTGAAGGGAGCTGCAGGTTGATCAGAAAGCTGTTGCCTCTTAATACAACACATCAATCAGAAAAGCTGTTACCAAACTCCTTCTATTTTTCTGCCACCACTGAATAAGGTGGTTCTGCTTCTGTCTTGGCAGATGGAGGATTGCAAACAATGAGGAAGGGTCCTCCTTTGACAGTGGAAACAATAGCCACTGATGGTGACCCCTATATGCCTATACAGGGTTTCCTGGCTGAGCAACAAAATGAAATTCAATGGTGAAAAAAGTAAGGTTCTACATTTAGGCAAGAAAAACCAAATGCACAGGTATAGTACAGGGGGTACCTTGCTCAATAGTAGTAACTGTGAGAGGGACCTCGGAGTCCTAGTAGACAATCACTAAAATAGGAGCCAGCAGTGTGCTGCAGCTGCCAAAAAAGCCAACACAGTGCTAGGCTGCATTAACAGAGGGACAGAATCAAGATCACACAAAGTATTAATACCACTTTATAATGCCTTGGTAAGGCCACACTTGGAATACTGCATCCAGTTTTGGTCACCACGATGTAAAAAAGATGTTGAGATTCTAGAAAGAGTACAGAGAAGAGCAACAAAGATGATTAGGGGACTGGAGGCTAAAACATATAAGGAACGGTTGCTGGAATTGGGTATGTCTAGTTTAATGAAGAGAAGGACAAGGGGTGACATGATAGCAGCCTTCCAATATCTCAGGGACTGCCCCAAAGAAGAGGGAGTCAAGCTATTCTCCAAAGTGCCTGAAGGCAGGACGAGAAGCAATGGATGGAAACTAACCAAGGAGAGAAGCAACCTAGAACTAAGGAGAAACTTCCTGACAGTGAGAACAATTAACCAGCGGAACAACCTGCCTCCAGAAGCGGTGAATGCTCCAACACTGGAAGTTTTTAAGAAGAGACTGGACAGCCATTTGTCTGAAATGGTGTAGGGTTTCCTGCCTGAGCAGGGGGTTGGACTAGATGACCTCCAAGGTCCCTTCCAACTTTATTATTATTATTATTATTATTACCTCCAAGGTCCCTTCCAACTCTATTGTCATTGTTATCTTTATTGCTCTTCTCTGCACTCTTTCTAGGATCTCAGCAACTTGTTTGCATCTATTGTATCCTAACAATCTTTTCCAATTCATGCTTCCTGGCATTTGACATTGAGGGAGGTCACTTCAAGGAAGGCTGAGTGCTCTGGAGGAAAAGGTGAAACCTTGCTCAAACTCTGCGAAGAAGAAGAAGAAGAAGAAGAAGAAGAAGAAGAAGAAGAAGAAGAAGAAGAAGAAGAAGAAGAAGAAGAAGAAGAAGAAGAAGAAGAAGAAGGAGGAGGAGGAGGAGGAGGAGGAGGAGGAGGAGAAGGAGGAAAAAAAAAATCTCCAGGTGCAAAAGCCGACCTGCTACTCAAACATTGTTTTGAAACGATCCGGAGAGGGGAGGGAAGAATATCCTTCTGCTGATCACTCTGGGAATCCATAAGCATCTCTGTGCATGTAGCCTCATTCTTTAATCCCCTGCCTATCCGATTTTATCTGGTGACTTCAGCAGGATGCTGGGAGATCACCGCAGGCGAGGAAAGAAAGACAATGTGAAGGATTCCCTGGATGTAACCGCAGAGAGGAACTTTCAGCTCTTTCTGACCAGGAGTTGGATGCCTTACTCACGACCGGATCATGATGTGGGTCACGGTGGGTTTCCTTTGCTGCCTGACCTTCGGAAGCCTGCCTTGGATGCTCTGTTTTTGCCCTTCTCAATGCAGCTGCTCGTTCTACAGCATCAGTGAGAGGATGAGAGCCAGGTAAAATTGCTCTAATTTTTCTTGATGACTCAGTGGGTGCCAGGAAGGTTTTTTCTGGACAGGTTGGTCCACCATTCTTCTTGGTGGGAGAGGAGAGTTACTTCAGCCATTTGGGTTGCCGANAAGAGAGTACAGCATAATCTGATTTTCTGAAATGCCGTTTGATGGTCTTTCACGCTAAGGCAGCAGCAATATAATCAACATTACACAATGTTATGGGGAAAGCGACCAACGCTGAACCATGCAATAAAAAAACAAACATAATTAAAAATATGAAAAGAATAATCATCAGAATTTTAGAAAATTTAAAACAGTGTAATAATAACAACAATAACAACAACAATAACAACAACAACAACAACAACAACAATAACAATAATAATAATAATAATAATAATAATAATAATAATAATAATAATAATAATAATAATAATAATAATAATAATAATAATAATAATAATAATAATAATAATAATAAAGTTGGAAGAGACCTTGGAGGTCATCAAGTCCAACCCCCTGCTCAGGCAGGTAACCCTATACCGTTTCAGACAAATGGCTGTCCAGTTTCTTCTTAAAAACTTCCAGTGTTGGAGCATTCAACGCTTCTGGAGGCAGGTTGTTCCACTGGTTAATTGTTCTCATTGTCAGGAAATTTCTCCTTAGTTCTAGGTTGCTTCTCTCTTTGGTTAGTTTCCACCCGTTGCTTTTTGTCCTGCCTTTGGGCGCTTTGGAGAATAGCTTGACTCCCTCTTCTTTGGGGCAGCCCCTGAGATATTGGAACACTGCTATGGACAATCTATTCTACTAGTTTATTGGCTGGTTGGGTTTTTTGGGGGGGAAATTAACTATGGCATAAAAGTTTACTCCAAGCCCTGAGAAATTGTCTGGGGCAAGCATATTAAAAGCACAGGATAAGTTTATGTTTATTTGAAAAAAAAAAACTACATGTAGAGTTTGACTAAAAGTGCACTTCAAAATAAAACTTCTTGTCTCTGACAGCATCAATAATACGCACACATCAGCATGACTTCACAGACAGAGAGATTGCTTAAATTGAGCGAGATGTGTATGTTTTATATAATGTTTGGGTCCTGTGTATGTCAAATCCTTTTTTTGAAAGAGGCATGATTTGGGAAGGATCAACCATAAACAGCTTATGTCAACAATTGTCACAGGTCTTGTCACACCTCTGCACCTTCTGATTTTGTCGACATGTACAGTATGTCAGCAAACACAGACAAACACATACTCCCATTCCTGGTAAAATAAAAAAAGATGAGATGAAGGACAGATTTCCAGCCGCTTAACATGCAGGAAGAATCTTTGACCACTCAAAAGCAGCTATTGCTGTAAAATGTTCTGGACTGTGGCATTACCTCCTTTGTGGATAAGCCAGAGGGTTACATAAATGTGCATTAGTTATGTACTACTACTGTAGAAATTGGTTAGTCTAGAGTTTCTCAGACATGGCCACTTTGAGATGTGAGATGGACTTCAACTCCCAGAATCCCCCAGTCAGCCAAGGTCTCTAACCAATTACATAGGTTTTGGGCGCAACTCATGTCCTGGTTTAGTGCTTGAGTAAGAGCCAGCTCTTCAGGGTATTCCAGTGAGCCAAGAGAGTAGGGTGTTTTCAATCTTTTTGACACCCTATGGACACCTCTGAAAGCCGTGGTTGAAAAGGAAGACATTTCAAGACTGACACAGCAGACGTTCAGTCAAAGATTGATCAGCCAACACAGCGCTAGGCTGCATTAACAGAGGGATAGAATCAAGATTCACGTGAAGTGTTAATACCACTTTACAAGGCCTTGGTAAGGCCACACTTGGAATAGGCATCCAGTTTTGGTCACCATGATGTAAAAAAGATGTTGAGACTCTAGAAAGAGTGCAGAGAAGAGCAACAAAGATGATTAGGGGTCTGGAGGCTAAAACATATAAGGAACGGTTGCAGGAATTGGGTATGTCTAGTTTAATGAAGAGAAGGACGAGGGGGGACATGAAAGCAGTCTTCCAGTATCTCAGAGGTTGCCTCAAAGAAGAGGGAATCAAGCTATTCTCCAAAGCACCTGAAGCCATGGATGGAAACTAATGAAAGAGAGAAGCAATCTAGAACTAAGGAGAAAATTCCTGACAGTTAGAAGAATTAATCAGTGGAACAACCTGCTTCCAGAAGTGGTGAATGCTTCAACATTGGAAGTTTTTAAGAAGAGACTGGACAGCCATTTGTCTGAAACGGTATAAAGTTTCTTGCCTGAGCAGGGGGTTGGGCTAGATGACCTCCAAGGTCCTTTCCAACTTCTTTTTTTTTCTCTTCTTCTTCTTCTTCTTTCTTCTTCTTCTTCTTCTTCTTCTTCTTCTTCTTCTTCTTCTTCTTCTTCTTCTTCTTCTTCTTCTTCTTCTTCTTCTTCTTCTTCTTCTTCTTCTTCTTCTTCTTCTTCTTCTTCTTCTTCCTCTTCCTCTTCCTCTTCCTCTTCCTCTTCCTCTTCCTCTTCCTCTTCCTCCTCCTCCTCCTCCTCCTCCTCCTCCTCATCATCATCATCATCATCATCATCATCATCATCATCATTATTATTATTATTATTATTATTATTATTATTATTATTATTATTATTATTATTATTATTATTATTATTATTATTATTATTATTATTATTGAAGCATACTAAATGACAATGAACTCATTTATGGAAAATTATAGAATAGATCCAGGTTTTATAGTCAGGGGAGCCTGGGAAAAGACAACAAAATACACCCACAATTAAAACTGGTGATTAAAAGTGTTCTGTCATGTGTGTGAAAATCAGGAAATCAAGGCAATTCAATGATTATAAAGGTTTATTGCGAGCTTATGCTCTCTATACGAATCATAGCTACTAACAGTCAAAGTAAATAGGTGGTAGATAAGAATTCAAGGTGGGCTGGACTTAGATCTTTTGTGGGTGCGAAATGACTCGAGGCTGATGATGTGTTTGATCCCCCCCCTTAGGACTCAGCCTGGTCACCTCCTGCATGTTCCGTATATAATTTCAACAAATCTTTTTTTTTTCCCAGCAGGGCTATTCTGTGCAATGACCCGGAGATGACCCTTACACCGGTCAATTTCCCAGGAGATACTTTCAAACTTAGGATAGAAAAAACAGCAATCCGAAGAGTTCCTGGGGAGTCTTTCCATTCTCTTCACAACCTGGAGTTCCTCTGGATGCCCTATAATGCCTTGACAAGCCTCCGGGTGACGAACTTTAGGGGCCTGTACCAGCTTCAGGAGCTCAGACTGGCTGGCAATGTTCTGACTTCCTTTCCATGGGAGACTCTTCCCAACATGCCTCAGTTGAGACTGCTGGATTTGCATAATAATCAGATTGCCTCCATACCCTCTCACGCTGCTCAGTATATCCGGAACATCACTTACCTTGACATCTCAAGCAATAAACTGATGATGCTCCCTCAAGAACTTATTGTGCTGTGGTCGAATCTCCAGGCTGTTCCATACTTCCTGAACGACAACTCCAAGATCATCCTAGGTAAGACATTTGGGGATGAGTAAAAGAAAAAGACATACTTGAGTTTGGATCAGAGGAAGTTAGTTGAATTTGTTTTCCTTGGGATCCAGGAAAGACCTGTAAAGCCATCCACCTTTTCACCTAGATCAGACATGTCAAACACAAGACCCGGGGGCTGGATGTGGCCCATGAAGTGATTTCATGTGGCCCACGAAGCCATCCTGGAAACAGTGAGGGAACGGCCCCCGCTGCCTTGGCCCTGGCCCAGGCCAGCCGGGAACCAATGTACAATTTTGTGGTGGCCATCTATGCTGAAATGCATTCAGTCTTAGCTACATAAGCCCCCCCCTCCGCATGGCCTGAGAGGAAGAGTGAGGCTCCTCCAGTGGACCATGCCTTGGTGCTTGCCCCGGTCCCACCCCCTTCTGCCAGAGACCCTCAGATCTATCCCACTCCTGCCCAGACCCCCACAGGCACCCTTGATGCGAACGATGTAGAGCTGGCCACACCCACCCAGTAGGCCACACCCTCTCCATCCACGCCCACCCAGTAGGCTGTGCCCACCCAGGCCACACTCACCCGGCCCCCTGAGGGCAACTGCAATGCTGATGCGGCCCTCAGTGAAATTGAGTTTGACACCCCTGACCTAGATTTTCTCTTTTGCTCATATCTTGACAATAGAATGCAAAGGTGAGGGGGAATGATGTCTAGGCAACCAAGAGCCAAGGCCAGTGCAGTGGACTGTTTCCATAAGAAGAAGAAATATGACTATTGGACAATGTCAACACCCAGTGGGTGGGGGTGAGGGAGACTATCGTTTAATTAAGCAGCCTTCAAGCGGAAAAACCAGAGGTGGTTTTGCTTTCTTCTGTGCCAATGTAAATTTTCAGTAAAGTATTATACAATGTCCCAGCAGTTTCTTTTTCTGGAAATGCCAACTGGACAGTTGAAACCACCACTGTCTTGTTCCATAGGAGCTGTGGGATTTCATTCATGATATCCAATTCAACCCTGATATTAATATTGAGGCAACGGTCTTCATAGCAGATGTTGATGATGGGTAGCAGATGTTGATGATGTGAATTGGTTAGCTGCTAAACTCTGTAACTCATGCTGGTTTGGGATGCTGTCAAAAATGCCGCTTTATTCAGAGTATTTAAGTAAGATTTGGTTGTTAAGGCAGCTGGCTTCTGACTGGTTAAAAAAAAAATGGAAAGAGACCCTGTTTTCTTTCATTTCAGGGAAAACAAATTACTCAATCCATTAGGCTGGATCCAATNGAATTGGTTAGCTGCTAAACTCTGTAACTCATGCTGGTTTGGGATGCTGTCAAAAATGCCGCTTTATTCAGAGTATTTAAGTAAGATTTGGTTGTTAAGGCAGCTGGCTTCTGACTGGTTAAAAAAAAAATGGAAAGAGACCCTGTTTTCTTTCATTTCAGGGAAAACAAATTACTCAATCCATTAGGCTGGATCCAATTTCCATCCAGTCTATAGTATACTATTTGAGAGCTAGTGATAAATCTTTAGTTACCTTTAGCCTTCAACTATTCTTGAAGATGTACAGTCATGCTGTGACGAGAAAAGCCATAAAACTTTTATTTGGCTCTATCTGGAAATAAAAATGGTATTTTTGCCAGGTTACCTTCTGTGTACATTCATCCAGGTGAAGCTAGTGCCTCCTGGCCCTTTCCCTCCCATCACATTTGGCCCTGGGATGTCCTTTTAATAAAAATATATTTGCAAATTTGCCTAATAAGGATAAAAATGTCAAATCCAGTCTAAACCTTTGGCTGACTGCACAATGAACAACAACAACAATAATAATAATAGCCAGGTGCAATTCCAAAACAACTGGAGCACCACTTAAACACCACCGGCATTGACAAATTTACCATTAGTCAATTGCAAAAGGCAGCCTTACTGGGAACAACTTACATCCTGCAATGATATCTGTAACACCATACAATATCCACCTCTGTGGATAAAAATGCCAATTTCAATCTAAACATCTGACTGACTTTGCGACAAACTATAATAAAAGCATTGTCTGAAGCACCAATGTTTTATTATGAGTTCCTACTGAAATTCAGTTCAAATATTTTCTAAATAGTCCTACTTCAATTAATTGCTACTTCAGAGATTCTCTTCTTTCTTCCTTTCTTTCTTTCTTCCTTCCTTCCTTCCTTCCTTCCTTCCTTCCTTCCTTCCTTCCTTCCTTCCTTCCTTCCTTCCTTCCTTCCTATCTATCTATCTATCTATCTATCTATCTATCTATCTATCTATCTATCTATCTATCTATCTATCTATCTATCTATCTATCTTTTTCCTTCTTTCTTCCTCCCTCCCTCTCTCCCTCCTCCTCCTCCTCCTCCTCTTCTTTTCTTCCTTCCTTCTTTTCTTCCTTCCTTCTTTTCTTCCTTCCTTCCTTCCTTCCTTCCTTCCTTCCTTCCTTCCTTCCTTCCTTCCTTTCTTTCTTTCTTTCTTTCTTTCTTTCTTTCTTTCTTTCTTTCTTTCTTTTTTCTTTCCTCCCCTCCCCTCCTTTCCCTTCTTACTTACTTTTTATGTCATCATCTCCCCTATAAGGCAAGTCTGTGTAGCTTACAGATAATAAAAAAGACAAATAAAAATAATTGTAATATTAAAGCTATGAGAATTAAAACTCTAAAATTATGCAAAACACCAAGACTCGGAGTTGGACAGCATGGGGATGAGGTCTTCTTACCCCATCAACCACCTCCAATGGTGAGTGCCCCCCTTGGGGCTCAAAGTCAACTAGCAGAGCCAAGATTTGATACCCTTCTGGTATCTAAAGGGTCAGAGCAGTTCTCCCCTCCAGTGGTAGAGTGTTCCGCAGGATCAGGGACACAGCGGAAAAGGCTTTGCAGCCAGGGTCATTCCCCACGGCCTCTGTGTGGAAGGATCAAGCCATTTTTGAATAATTGAATAGCAAATCTTTTTGTTGTACATCTGCAAATGCTGAATAGCGCTGTTCAGGATGAAGGAAAAAGATGAGCTAGGTAGAAGCCCCACTTGAGTGTTCACAGGTCTCCTGCAACCGTTGAGGAACACTTTTGATAATGTAATGGTTGACCCTTCCAATGGCTTCTCTTCCCAGGCCTACAGGACAACCCGTGGACATGTGACTGCAGCGTCTATGAAATGGCTCATTTCCTCAACTTCCAGTCCCCCAACATAGCCTTCATCGAGCCAAAGCTGAGATGCTTTAACCCTGAAAAGCAGACTAGACTCTTCTTCAGTCAAGTGGAACTAAGGAAGTGCCAGAGCCCAGTCGTGCACACCTCGGTGGCTAAAGTAAAGAGTATCCTCGGAAGCACAGTTCTGCTGCGGTGTGGGACCACAGGGGTGCCCGTTCCAGAGCTGAGCTGGAGAAGAGCTGATGGAAAACCGTTCAATGGCACAGGTTGGTTCACCTCTTCTGTCATATCTGCCTGACTTAAGGACAGAGGGAAGCCATTATCATGTTTGGGCGTAGGACAAAACAAATGCAGATAGTCCTCCATTCATGACCACAGATGGGACTGGAATTTCGGTCACACATGGGTGTGGTTGTACACTGAGTCACCACATGACTGGACATGACATTTACAACCATTTTTACAGTGGTTATAAAGTGAATCACCACAGTTATCAAGTTAACCATGCGGTCATTAAGGAAAATCCAGCTTCCCTGATGGATTTTCAATTGTGCTTGCCTGTTGGAGCACTGGCCTTTAAATACCTTTTTGTGTGATGTAAATTGGTGTGGGTTTTATTTGTCTGGATGTTTCTGAGTCATGGTCTGGTTTTGGGCTGGTTGATTGGCTGGTTGAACCTGGGCAGCTTGCATGTTAGCTGATGAGAGCTAAAGAGCTCGAAATAGCTATACTAGTCTCCCTTTAACTCTTTGTCAGCTACAAAATTTTGAATTTACAGTTTTCATAGTAGTGACGTCTGCCTGCAAAAAATGCTCCTAGACTGGAGCGAAACGCAGTAGCAGATTGATTTGTCCTATATTTGGTAGACCGGGTGCTTCACTCAACACATATACATATACATATACATATAATACAAAATAAAAATGCGAACACCAGGAGAGTATAAGACAATTAAAAGTTTAGTAAAAAACCTTTAAAAACTTTTAAAAGCATACAATCATAGGGGCCAAGCTTTCGTCGGATCCTTCCGACATCCTCAGGGCACAAAGTCAATCAATGGGAAAAGCAGTTATAAATAAACCGACGCCTGCATCCGGGCCCTAGNCCCATTGATTGACTTTGTGCCCTGAGGATGTCGGAAGGATCCGACGAAAGCTTGGCCCCTATGATTGTATGCTTTTAAAAGTTTTTAAAGGTTTTTTACTAAACTTTTAATTGTCTTATACTCTCCTGGTGTTCGCATTTTTATTTTGTATTATGGATATTCCCAGGAGTCATTCGTCTGTCTTTTATGTTATTTGCAAACATATACATATACATATACATATACATATACATATACATATACATATACATATACATATACATATACATATACATATACATATACATATACATATACATATACATATACATTTTGTTGGAAACCAGCAAAAAAAGAGAGATTCCAATCAAAATCATGTGACTTCAGGATGCTACAACCGATTGTAAATGCCTCCTGATTGCCAAGTGCCCAAATTGCAGTCACGTGGCTGCAGGGGTGGCAGTGAACACAGCTCACGAAACACTTTTTTCTGAGCCCGTCGTAACTTTGCACCATCATTAAACAAATGGCCGTAAGTTGAGGACTGCCTGCATGTCCCTGACAAATTCTGGATGTTGAAACAACTTTCTAAAATATGTTTTAAAAATGTGTCAAGGATTATGAGAAAGGCGGCTGTCACATGTGACGGCATGCTCCAAGGATCGGTCTGCAACTCTTTAAAGCAGTCGTATCTTTTTCCAGGAAAGGGAACATTAGTTGCAAATCCATTCCACAAAAATATGCATTTGCTTTAAAGAAATGCAGGTCAACGTTACACAGATATATCTATTTTGTTCCAAAGCACCTTTCTGACTTTGAATCATCTTATTTTCTATACTATCTCTTCTTGTCCCTTTCCGTAACAATATAAATATAATAGATTAAACTAGTAGCCCTTGAAAAAGCACTTCTGTTCTTAATTGGTTGCATTTTTCAAAACCACACCATTAGAATGATTTGAATCAGTTAGCCCCTAATTAATTGAAATAATCCCCTGAAACAAAAACAACATTAAAAATACAAATGCCATTAAAAATAAATCCCTTAGAAATGTAAGCCATCAAATACAATATCTCTCAACAGTTTATTTTTTTTGCAAACTTTTATCTGCTTTGTTTTTATTTCTTCTCTCTCTAGTCCATCAAGAAATTTCCAGTGATGGAATAAGGTGGTCTATTTTAGAATTATCGGTGGTCTCTTACTTTGATTCTGGAGAATACATCTGCAAGGCTGCAAACTTTCTTGGAGCCACGGAAGCTTTCATCTCCTTGATTGTCACCGATTCTAAGAGCGTAGATGACCCTGGGGCAGATCTGAAAGGAGTGTGGAAAGGACACATCAAGGGGATAGAAACAGCAGCTTACAAGGACAATTTGCTCGGAGGACACAGCATGACAACTTCAACTTTCCCGACTTTGCGTATCATTTCAGGTCAGGCCAACACGGAGAGGAATCTGGTGCTTCGGGATCAGGCCCTAAATATGAAAAGCGACCCCAAAATTATCTTAGAAAGTCTGCCCGCTACTAACCAAGAATCCCAATGCCTAGTCAGGTCGGTCCGAGTAATTGGAGATAGTGATCATAGTGTCTCCTTAGCTTGGAAAGCTCCCCAAGCCAACACTAGTACCGAATTCAGCATCCTTTATGCCATCTTTGGAGAAAGGGACATGCGCAGAATCAACGTGGAGCCGAAGAAGACCAGGACCACCATCAATGGCTTAATGCCCAAGACCAAGTACATTGCGTGCATTTGCGTGAAAGGACTCATACCCAAGAAGGAACAATGCATCATTTTCTCAACAGATGAAGTTGCCAGCGCTGGTGGAACCCAAAAACTGATCAACGTGGTGGTCATCAGCGTGGCCTGCGTCATTGCTGTCCCTCTCACCCTGGTGGTCTGTTGTGGGGCCCTGAAAAGACGCTGCAAAAAGTACTTGGTTCAGAAACCCAAGGACATGCAGGACTCTTACGTCACTTTTGAAGCCCTCTCTCCAGGAACCAGAACGAAGGAGACAGAAGGAGAATACTTGACTCACCACATACCTGATGAGTCTAATAGGTTACTCTCTTCAAGGTCCAGCGTGGACTCTGAAGCAGTTGGAAAGGCAGATGGACAGCTGAATGAGTACTTCTGCTGATACTGCTTTCCTCACAACTTGACAAATGTAATTCTGTCTTTGGCAGCCCGTCTTTTGCCTGAGATTTCTCATGCCATACATGCATGTTTCATACAAAAAATACAATGTATAGCTTTGCTGAAGTTCTTTTTTTTAAGTTAAAATCTCAATACCGTAAATATATGATGAGCAAGTTTCCTGGGACTTCCCCCCCTCCTTTGGTTCTGAGATTTCAATAATCCAATAACGGCTCCATTAATATTCTATGGAAGAACAGTTTATATATATATGTGTTAAGGAGATACTAATGGCATTTTTAGGATTGGAGGTCTGATGAAAATTCAAGTTCTCTTCCACAGCCTCACGTTGTTTTATTCCTACCACTTTCTAAATGTTGTGTGTTGCTTAAAAAGGGATTCGTAAACTAAAAGATCAGAGGGAACGAAGTGAGCTAGATACTGAAATATCACATGTACCTATCTGGCATCTTAGACTGATTTTTTTCTTTGGACAAAATAAATTCAGATCATATATATGATGATGATGACGATGTATATCGTGGTGTCCCATCCTTGCCCAGTTTTGAAGTTCATTACATCAAGGCTTTTCAACCAGTGGTACGGGTACCACCTGTGGTACATTGGCACCTGGCAGGTGGTACGCGACCATCCTAGAAAAGTAGCGGGGGAGGGGAATGAGCAGCACCGCACAAGCCTGAGCGAGAGATGGCTGGAGCTGCAGGGCTGTCAGAGCTCAGCGGAAGTGCCAGGATCAGCGCTTCTTTGGGGCTGTCAGGGCTCAGCGGAAGCTCCAGGATCAGCGCCAGGATCCAGCTGGAGCTCGGCGCTAATCCTGGTGCTTCTGCTGAGCCCAGAAGAAGCACCGATCAGCTGGAATGTTGCAGCATCTCCAGGGTCTTGTGATTTACATTCAGATGCTTGGCAACCGATTCATATTTATGACGGTCACAGTGTCCCAAGGTCATGTGAAGTGACCAAAACCTAAACACCCCCCACCCCATCCCCACTGCCAATCCTCAACAGAAATGCTCACAACAATGAAAACCTTAGACAGGAGGAAGAGCGCCGCCGGGCGGGCAGGCAGGTGTCTTGCTCGGCTGTGCCTTGGGGGGCACTTTTTCAGTGCCATTGTAACTTCGAACAGTCACTACGCAAACTGTTGTAAGTCGAGGACTACCTGTATTTCATCACTTTTTTCCTTTTTTTTTGGTCAAGTTTTTGACACCTTGCTAGGCAACTGGTGGTACTTGGATATTGCCATATCCTAAATGTGGTACAATGGGTGAAAAGGTTGAAAAGCCCTGCATCACATGACAGTAGAGAATCTCTTTAGCTCAGACGTGAACTTTTGGATCTACGTAGGTGCTCCAGAAACTGTTTATTTATAGCCACCCTTCTTGTGCCAAACTCTGGACTTCTCACAACCCTCCTTCTCTCCACTCTCCATACTCTAGGATGAGGTGGGCGTGGCCCTTGCTCATCACCTGAACTCTGCCTCTCTTGTTCAGCCTGTCCCACACCTGAAGGGCCCTGGCCTGCCTCGGCCTGCTCTTCCCCACATTCCTCTGAATCCACAGACACCTCTCCCCAGACCTCCATAGGGTCCCATTCCACCTCATTTTCCTCTGCAGATTCAGGCTCCTATGGAGGCATGACACTAACTAACTAACTAACTAACTTTCTTGTCCCATAGGGTGGTAGTAAAGCAGGTTTAGACAAAAACTCTGATTCCCGTTGAGTTTGGAACAAGGTTGGTTAATCTTTTCCCTTTATCAACGTTGCTTTTTCCGAGAAGATTAAATAAAAGACAGTAGAGGGCAGCAAAACCATGGAGATTTTTCCCCCTGAAGTGTCCTACTTTATATCAATATTTTTTTTTGCAGGTTAAAAAGAAGTTCAGACTTGTTTTCAATTTATTTTCCGAGAGACGCAGATTTACCACTGGTATAATATATATTTTGGGCTTTGGATTATTTTAATAACGTTTTTTGTTATTGCTCATATTTTATGCCGCAATGAAATGGTTCCTTTGTAAATACTTGCTTTCAAACCCCTCACAGCTTACACTTTCTAAAAAAGAATTTCAAATATGGTGCTCATAATAGCTGTCTCTAGATGTCATTAGCTAATTAAGGGTTTTTCCTTTTGAGATGTGCCAGCTAGCCCTGCACTGACATATTCAAAATGTTATAACACATTTGATATCTTATGCTAACAAGCAAGGCAAGAGATGATCTCTTAGCAATTAAGTTGGTATTTTCATAATGGGATAAATTTTTGTGCAGTTAACTGTGTTCTTTTACCATCATCATGAGTCACGATGGCACAGTGGTTATAATGCAGTATTGCAGGCTAACTCTGCCGACTGCCAGCAATTTGATCCTGACAAGTTCAAGGTTGACTCAGCCTTCCATCCTTCCAAGGTCAGTAAAATGAGGACCCAGATTGTTGTGGACAATATGCTGACTCTGTAAACCACTTACAGAGGGCTGTAAAGCACTGTGAAGTGGTATATAAGTCTAAGTGCTATTTCTATTTCTATTATTTCTATTTCTATTATTTCTATTTCTATTTCTTCTATTGCTATGGTGGCACAGTGGTTACAATGCAGTATTGCAGGCTAATTCTGCCCACTGCCAGCAGTTCGATCCTGACTGGCTGAAGGTTGGCTCAGCCTTCCACCTTCTGAGGGTTGTAAAGCATTGTGAAGCGGTATATAAGTCTAAGTGCTATTGCTATTGCTATTGCTATTGCTATCTATCTATCTATCTATCTATCTATCTATCTATCTATCTATCTATCTATCTATCTATCTATCTATCTATCTATCTATCTATCTATGAGCTATGGAAGAGCAGTGGTTAGAATGCAGTGGTTAGAATGCCGACTGTCAACAGTTTGATCCTGACCAGCTCAAGGTTGACTCAGCCTTCCATCCTTCCAAGGTGGGTAAAATGAGGACCCAGATTGTTGTGGACAATATGCTGACTCTGTAAACCACTTACAGAGGGCTGTAAAGCACTGTGAAGCAGTATATAAGTCTAAGTGCTGTTGCTATCAGCAATATCCTAAAGGTGCTTCTTGTTCCAAAAAAGCAACTGGACTTTCTCTGTTTTTCCTTTTGAAAACATTTCACTCCTCATCTTCAGTTCTAACTTCAGTTCTAACTAAACTTAGAACTGATGTTAGAACAGAAGAAGCTTCTTGGATGAGAAGTGAGGCATTTTCAAAGGAAAAAAAATCAAGAAGGTCCAGTTGCTTTTGGGAAAATAAAAAGCACCTTTGGACAGCCGTGACCTGGATGATTGAGAATCTCCATAGATGACATCAATATTCTCAATGAACTGCCACATTAAGGGTTTAATAGATGTATGAGCTGATGAAATATATACAGAAGGTATTTTGCTTAATGAGACAGCAGACAGAGTTGGAAGAGATTTTTCATACACAATAAAATCCCCTGCCTAGTCTCACCAGTGATTCTTCGCCAATTAGACCAAATTGCAGAGAGAGACTGTTTTTTGCATGATGAACTGTGTGTCAGGGGGATAACGAGCAATCAGATTTATTGTACCCTATACAGCTTCCCATCTTGGACAACTGCGATTATGGGCAGTGTGCAGTCAAGAAACAAGTAAGCAACAGCAAAGTACAGTTACAAACTACCACCACCACCACCACCACAACGAAACAGACAACCCAAATTTCTTTCACACCCGTCCAGGGAGGAATACCAATCAACTTGGCTAGAGGTCCTATCATTCATTTGAATCAGAATCAGAGTAGAGCTGGAAGGGACCTTGGTGGTCTTCTAGTCCAGCCCCCTGCTCATGCAGGAGACCCTGCACCATTTCAGACAAGTCACTGTCCAATCTCTTCTTAAAAACCTCCGGTGATGGAGCACTCCCAATGTCTGAAGGCAGCTGTTCCACTGGGTGAATTGTCCTCACTTCTAGCAAGTTTCTCCTTAATTCCAGGTTGCTTCTCTCCTTGATTAGTTTCCATCCTTCGTTTCTTGTCTTGCCTTCTGGTGCTTTGGAGAATAGTTTGACCCCCTCCTCCTTGTGGTAGCCTCTCAGGTACTGGAAGACTGCTATCATGTCCCCCCTAGTCCTTCTTTTCTCTAGACTAGCCAAACTCAAATCCTGCAACCATTCTTCATATGTTTTTTTTGTCTCCAGGCCTTTAATCATCTTAGTTGCTCTTCTTTGCATTTTTTCCAAAGTCTCAACATCTTTTTTGTAATGTGGTGACCAAAACTGGATGCAGTCTTCCAGGTGTGGTCATACTAAGGCTTTATAAAGCGGTACTAAGACTTCATGCCTCTGTTTATACAACCAAGGATTGTATTAGCTTTTTTGGCTGCTGCTGCACACTGCTGGCTCATGTTTAAGTGATTATCCACTAGGACTCCAAAGTCCCTTTCACAGGTACTATTTTTGAGCCAGGTTTTCTGCTTTCAAATTTGTTTTCTGTTCCAATTTTTTTTATAAGATGCTTTGCAAAGAACATGTCATGATTCTGACAGATGAAACTCTTCAAAGAACTTCGAGGCATTGTTTACCTTAAAGAATCTTTATTTGAGAAGCATAGCATCAGCAGTAACACAATCGAAGCCAAAACCTGGATTCCCCTCCCCTGAGCACATAGTATCAAAGCACAATTCCCTCTTCCAATTAACAGTCATAAATCACATTCTCCAATTAGTTTAAAATGCAGGCTTTCCCTCCAGTTCTCCAGCCCGCCAATTCTTATCAGCTCTTATTTCAATAACCTTGGTTCTCACACTAGGTCCAGTATTGTTATGTCTATTTAAACTCTCATGCACATTCCTCCCTCCCCCAGCATCATCTAACTCTAAAAGTAAAACATAAGAAGAAAATGGTTGCATCTCTAATTGTTGTCAAAGCAAAAACATCCTATGTTAGCAGCATTGACAGAACAACTCTGAACACCAGTCAAGATATAGGCTAACTAAGTGTAAACTGCATCAATGCTGTTGCTTCCATTCAGATTCTTGTTTTGATTTTCTTTTCATTTTTGTCAAGCTTTACTCCTGGTGACTACATAGTCAAGCTCATGCAGTTTTCCTGTGACATATATACCGTGTTGCCCCCAAAATAAGTCCGGGTTTTATATTAATTTGTGTTAGGTCTTATATTTGGGGAAACACGGTACTAAATGTGTCCGTCTGGCTGATGATCTTAACTGGGGCTTATTTTGGGGGTACGGCTTATATTACGAGCATCCTGAAAAATCATATCAGGGCTTATTTTCCAGTTGAGCCTTATTTTCAGGGAAATAGCGTACCACAGGCCACTCAACCAAACAGAAGAAATAAATGAACTTTTTGCTAACCAGTTAACTAAAGTATGTAGGAAGCACATCACAACAATAAAGGGGAACTTTAAGTACCCCAACATCAACTGGGAGTCAAACTGCACCTATAGTAGTGGAAGATCAAATAGATGTATGACAAACCTAGTAGACAAATTTGTCTCCCAAAAGGTAGAGAAAGGAACTAAAGAGCCAGTCATACTGGACTTAATTCTCATTAACAGAGATGAAATAATAAGAGGCATTCAAATTATAGGAACCTTTTGGGGATATGTGTGTGAGAATGATCATCCAATATTGCAATTCAACATTATGCAAAGCACAAGGAATAGGGAAAAAAAAAATTAAACTATGGACTTTAAGAGAACTGATTTCAATAAACTTAGAGCTTGGGAAAGATTCCATGGATGAAAATCCTCAAGGGGAAAATAATCCAAGAACCTTGGGAAACTTTGAAAAGTGAGATTATAAAAGCCCAGTCTAGCACAAGAAGAAAAGAAGAAAAACAAGAGACTTCAAAAGAAACCAGCATGGCTGCACAGAGAACTCTCTGATAAATTGAGATTTATCAGAGTCTAGGGTCTCCTGCTAGAGCAAGTGGTTGGACTAGAAGACCTCTAAGATTTCTTTCAATTCTGTTATCCTGTTCTGTCTTAACTGCCATGAATGTCTTGGCTAGCGACTCATTTCAATTTATTTTTGAATAGAATATATTCTCCTTTTATAATTGCAGTAAATTACCTAACCTTAACAGATACTTCTGGCACAGAAACACATTGCACACAAGTCCTCCAGAGGCAGTTTTGCCCTACTGCTTAGAAAGATTAGACCTAATAGGATTTGGGAATCTCTTTCTCTCTGTTGCAAAAGCAAACCATATTTATTTACTGAGGAAGAAGATGGAACTCATCAGTCACATGTTTTCCCTTATTTTGCTTTTTTACTTCTCTGGGATACATCTTGCAACTTCGGATTGTGTCACCGGCTGCTCCTGTTTCAACGATACATTTGGAAGGTAAGAATATTTGACAACAGCATAATATTGAATAGCTTCCTATGGGGAAACTCAGTCAAGGCTTATCATGAAATGAATATATTAATAAATATCCCGACTGACGACCTCTCCAGATTTCAATATAGAAGACAGGAAATAGAATATACTTGGATATGATTAATCAGCATACACCATTCCTTGGTTTTCAGTGGAAATGTTTGCCTGCCAACAGCCAGATTCAACCCAGATGTAATAATAATAATCAGAATAGAGCTGGGAGGGTTCTTGGAGGTCTTCAAGTCCAGCCCCCTGCTCAAGCAGGAGTCCCTATATTATATATGTATATTATTATATGCTTGAACTATATTTATGTGATTTATTCCTGTAATATTGAGAGATTTGGGATATTATACAAATAATGGTTTGTGTTTTATAACTTGGAAATGAAGAATAACCATTATCACTGTTAGGGTTCCTGAGTGAGGGAGGGAAGGGAAAACCCACCGTGTCGTATGACACAACACAGAGGGAATTAAAAATGAACGCAAGCTACCCATCCCAACCTTGTTCCGTTTTCTGATTTAATTTTTAGGAGTTTGTTTTGCGTCTCGACATTTTTGAGGAAGATCCCAGATGAGATCCCTCAAGATATCAAAAAAATCAGAATCGAAAATTCTCTGCTAACCGAATTGTTTCGTGGCACCTTCTCTAATGTTAGCACCTTGGAATACCTCTGGCTTAATTTTAATAACATCACGGTGATGGATCTAAGAAGTCTTGAGGACTTGAAGGAGCTGAAGGAGCTGAGAATTCAGGGGAACCGGCTGCGTTCAGTACCATGGACAGCGTTCCGAGAGACACCCGTTCTAGAAATTCTTGATCTCAAATGCAACGAGATTGATGTCCTACCAGAGCATGCTTTACGCTACCTTTTGAGGCTGACCTACTTAGACTTATCTTGCAATGAGCTTACTGTCATCTCCAAAGAAGTGTTCTATAATTGGCCTGTCTACCAAAAACTCCAGCGGCTGGAGAAGAAAGCAGAAACCGTTTCTGGTACCGTCTTGTCTTTGCATGATAACCCGTGGATTTGTGACTGCCGTCTGCGAGGGTTTGTCCAGTTCATCAATTCTATAGGCCCGCCCATGGTTCTCATAAATTCCTATTTAACGTGCTCAAGTCCTAAATCTAGGGCAGGCAAATACTTCCATGAAGTGGAGCTGAACAGCTGCAGGAGACCTTCTGTGACATCTTCCAAACCAAACATTACTGTGTTTCTTGGAGAAAATTCAACGTTGACTTGTTTGGTAAAAGCTAACCCTTCTCCAAAAATTTGGTGGAACTATCCATTAAAACACTTGCGGGGGTTTAATGGTGAGTGTGATCCCCAGCTAAAACATTTAACGTAAAATAGTCTTCTTTTATAACAATGGTAAATATTTGGCAAGTTATTTTTTTTCCTCCCTCTTCTTGGAAATTCTTCTCATCAGTGATGGGTCTCTACACCAATTATGCTGGTTTATTTATCTCATTAATGGGAGAAGATCAATTATTCTACTTCATTGGTATACTGAGTTGTCAGTGCTTGAAAGCTTATCCAAGACCCGAACCATTTTCATACAAGTAAAAGTCACCCTAAGTCTGCTCTTAGAATTAGGGGAGAGGTATCAGATATTTTTTATCAGGATCGCTTCGTTTTTATTTGTTTATTATTTATTAAACAAGTTTATATAGATGCCCAACTGACATATAGGTGACTCCAAGCAGCTTACAGCATTTAAAAATCCAGCACATAAAAAACCCCATAAAAAACCCTACCCCATCCTCCTATGGCAGTAACTATACAATCAACTCAACCATTTGATCAGCTCCATGTTCATTTATGAGGTCCAGCCCTGCTGACCGAACCAGGTTTTAAAGGGCCTTTTGGAAAAGTAGGAGCATGGGGATTCATTCGTTCTTTGGGATGAATTATAGTAATAGTAATAGTAGTAAAGTTGGAAGGGACCTTGGAGGTCATATAGTCCACCCTCCTGCTCAGGCAGGAAACCCTATACCATTTTGGACAAATGGCTGTCCAGTCTCTTCTTAAAAACTTCTAGTGTTGGAGCATTCACCGCTTCTGGAGGCAGGTTGTTCCACTGGTTAATTGTTCTGTCAGGAAGTTTCTCCTTAGTTTCTCCTTATGTTCCATAGAGAAGGAGCCATCCTCAAGAAGGCCCCTTTTCATGGTCCCAGCAGTTGTAGATCCTTAAACACTGGGTCTCATGACATACCCTGCCTTTCCAATTTTTCTTAAACTTTGCTGTTGTTAGTTGCGAAGTCGTGTCCGACCCATCGCGACCCCATGGACAACGTTCCTCCAGGCCTTCCTGTCCTCGACCATCTTCTGGAGTCCATTTAAGCTCACTCCTACTGCTTCAGTGACGCCCTCCAGCCACCTCATTCTCTGTCGTCCCCTTCTTCTATTGCCCTCAATCTTTCCCAGCATTAGGCCCTTCTCCAGTGCGTCCTTCCTTCTCATTAGGTGGCCAAAGTACTTGAGTTTCTACTTTAGGATCTGTTTGCCTTTTGGTACTGTCCATGGGGTTTTCATGGCAAAGATACTGGAGTGGGTTGCCATTTCCTTCTCCAGTGGATCACATTTTGTCAGAACTCTCTGCTATGACCTGTCCATCTTGGGTGGCCCTGCACGGCATAGCTCATAGCTTCATTGAGTTACGCAAGCCCCTTCGCCACAACAAGGCAGTAATCCATGAAGGAGTTCTTAAACTTACACATTGCCTTTTCCTCTTTTTGTATGATATATTTTATTAATTTTTACAACAACAATCTTTAGTGCTTCGTGAGCAGTGTGCTGTCTGGGTTCGTATATTTAAAAACAATCAATAATAATTAATTTCTAAAATTAATCAATATGTTGGTTAATAATATATTTCTTTGATCCTCTCTTCTTACAGGAATCTTTTATCTTTTGTCTAGATTTAATCTTTTGTCTAAACAAATATAATTCTTAATACTTTCTATACATGCCAAGCTGAGTAGAAACATTTTTTAGTATTTGTACATATAATAATAACATGAACATATAACATATATAACTTCTTTACTAATCAGCTTCTAATCAGTTTCAATTGTATTTATAAAGGTCATCTTATTAGGTCGTTATATGTCCTGTTTTCAAGATTCTTATTGAACCTTAATTTCCCCTCAGTATTCAAACCACTCTTATCAGTCATAATTTTCTCAAAATTCATTACCTTCGAATATCCAAACTTTTCATTCAAATACACCGTCTCAATATTTTTACATTTCATATATTATAAAAGTATTATACTACTTATATATCTTATCCATGCAGTGATGGCGAACCTTTTAGAGACCAAGTGCCCAAACTGCAACCCAAAACCCACTTATGTATCGTCGGGTGCCGGATGGATGTGGCTGATTGTGTGGGCATGGCCCATTGGGTGCATGTGGTTTTGGTGGTAACGGCAGACTGGGTGGGACTAAAAAGTTCAATCAATCAATTCCAACTTTGCGAGAGGCGTGAAAGTTGAAATTGATTGATTGAACCTTTTTTTTTTTGCACATGGCAGCGGAGGCCTAAAGCAAAAAGGTTTTATAAAACCCAGCTGAAGGCCTAGGACTGGGGTGACGGCGCGGGTGCCCACAGAGAGGGCTCTGCGTGCCACCTGTGGCATGTGTGCCATACGTTCGCCACCACAGCTATAGGGCCTCTTTATGTCCAAGCTTTGTCTGTTCTTTTGACCATATTCAAACAAATATTTAATCATATAGTACACCATCTAATAATCTTACTATAGGGCCTCTTTATGTCCAAATATATCCAAATTTCTTTTTTCTGACAGAGAGTAAGGAATTAAATTGGGAGACTAAGATGGACCATTTCTGGCTTTTTTGCCTTCATCAGTTAGCCATACCCTTTATGGGATTCGAACCTGGGCAGTTATACATACTAGTCAGTGATTTAGCCACTGAGCCACAGGTTCTCTTCCCCTCTTTGCCAGCAGAGTCAAGGGAGTAATTATAGGGAGTTCAGACAGATCGGTCTGATTGTGAACACCTTGACATTTTCAACTGCCATACTGCAGTTTTACTCTTTTTACAATATCTCTTGCCTTGCCGCCCCCAACTAGGGGCATAGAGCAGGGTATGGCTAACTGATGAAGGCAAAAAAGCCAGAAATGGTCCATCTTAGTCTCCCAATTTAATTCTTTACTCTCTGTCAGAAAAAAGAAATTTGGATATAAAAATATTTCGCAGTTGCGACTTGAGCCTGCTCTCTCTATATATATACATATTCAAACAAGTGTTTAATCATATAATATTCCATCTGATAAGTTGAATCACATCTCTTAACTCCAACTCTAATCTTCTTCTTTTGCCAGGTAGCTTCCCAAATCAGTAAGTTTAGCGTGCCAGGTTGTGTTTTTGTAAATGTTGTTGGGGATAAAAAAGACAAATTAAGAGGACCCCCGATTGGATTGAATTGGATTTTTCCAGTGTTGATGAACCATTGATCACCGTGGTAGACAGTCGATATGCAGTATATTATCTGCTTTCTTACTTTTATTTTTTATTTTTTGAAGTCTGTTCTGTACATCAGCTGCCATCCAGTACAGAATACGTATCACAGGAACGAAGCATTCTTAACAGTATTGAGCTGCTGCCATTGAGCAAAGCAAATCACGATTACCTCCAATTGAAATTAATTTGACCTAGCTGAGTAACACTTAAATCCTGTTCTCCTTTCTTCAGCATCCTTCATGAGGGTTCGTGCCTTTTCAAAACATATCTGTCCTGTTTAACGTAATCGAAAGCTGAAAGGCAGATACGGATGTATTAGGCAATATTACGTTATTCATCTTTACATAATTGAGGATCAAAGTAGAATCAAGCCACTCGTTCAGATAATGCCTTTTAGTGACTGGGTCAAGGCACTGTGTGAGGAAATTTGAGGGATTTGTTCCTTGTTTGACCACCACTAGTGTTAAAACCTCATGTCCACCCAACATGGGCATAGTTTAATAATAATAATAATAATAATAATAATAATAATAATAATAATTAATAATAATAATAATAATAATAATAATAATAATAATAATAATAATAATAATAATAATAATAATAATAATGGTAATAATAGTAAAGTTGGAAGGGACCTTGGAGGTCATCTAGTCCAACCCCCTGCTCAGACAGGAAACCTTATACCATTTCGGACAAATGGCTGTCCAGTCTCTTCTTAAAAACTTCCAGTGTTGGAGCATTCACCGGTTCTGGAGGCAGGTAGTTCCACTGGTTAATTGTTCTCACTGTCAGGAAGTTTCTCCTTAGTTCTAGGTTGCTTCTCTCCTTGGTTAGTTTCCACCCGTTGCTTCTTGTCCTGCCTTCAGGCGCTTTGGAGAATAGCTTGACTCCCTCTTCTTTGGGGCAGCCCCTGAGATATTGCAACACTGCTATCATGTCCCCCCTCGTCCTTCTCTTCGTTAAACTAGACATACCCAATTCCAGCAGCCGTTCTTTATATGCTTTGGCCTCCAGTCCCCTAATCATCTTTGTTGCTCTTCTCTGCACTCTTTCTAGAGTCTCAGCATCTTTTTTACATCGTGGTGACCAAAACCGGATGCAGTATTCCAGGTGTGGCCTTACCAAGGCCTTGTAAAGTGGTATTAATACTTTACATGATCTTGATTGGTATATTAACCTTATGATGTTCATTATTAGCTCACAGCACTGTTATAGTAGCCAGGAGACCACGATGATATTAGAGAGCAGTAGTTTGGCTTGCCAAGCTACCAGCCCTGATATAGGGCATGTTCACACGCTTCCCAGGGTGAGCCACAGGAAGGTAAGCTGGCTTCAGATCAGATAGAAAGATGAACTGTTCTTCCTGCAGTGTCACCCAAAGCCTTGCAAGCGGGCACTGCAACCAGGAAACCCAAAGATTCTTTTTCGCGAGGCAACTTGACTTTCTTGTTGTTCTTGGAAGCTTCTTGGATGAGAAGCGAAACGTCTTCAAAGAAAAACGAGAAAGTCCAGTTGCCTCGTGAAAAAGCACCTTTGGGACAACCATGACCTGGATGACTGAGAATCTCCATGGACATGCAACCAGGAAAGTTCAGAGTCATCAGGAATCTGCCTGCCTGCACGAAACACCAGTTCGTCTCCCCAACAAGGTGGTACCTATCTATCTACTCTCATAGAACATGCTTTCAAACCATGGACAGCAGCTGAGATGAGGGACAGGAGCTCAACCTGCCACGCAGTGTCTGGGCTCGAACCGCTGGAGCTGAGACCATCTCCAGAGTCATTAAGCCACTAAGCCACCATGCCCGGTTATGGGTGTGGATGATTATGATGTGGATACATACATTCACACACCCAACTGTCAACCATCAGTCAATAACCCAAGCCATAACTGTAACCCATTTGGATTTTTTTTTTTTAAAAAAAATGGGAGACTGCTGAAATAAGCAGATATAATAGATTGATACACAAATCTCACTGGTAAGCAAGAAGAAAAATTTAGTTGGCAAAAAAAGAATAAGGGACCCATTTAATTACTGTATGTAGAAATATCAGCAGCCTTGACATTGAATAGAACTTGTATGGCCAACTAAATTTGGAAACAGCCATCTCCTATCAAGGTCTGGTTTTTTTCAAGACTGTTAGCTTAGAAAGGAATCTGTCCATCCAATAAGGCTTGGAAGAGATGGCCTACTTGGGAACCAATTTTTCAAGAGATTCTGTATGGAGTTTGTAGCCAAGTGATGGTTCCCCCTCACAGATATATAGATGATCGTCATGTATTTCTGCAGAGATGTGAAAATCTGATTCTGGGAGAGAGCTTTTGGGGGTGTCTGCTTTTTTTTTAATTTTTAATATACATTTTGATTAATAATACAAAATTAAAAACACATTGGACATAGATATGACGTCACTGGTTCCATACATCTTCCAACATTTTACAATAGTATTAGTACTCATATAGACATATATGAGACATATAGTTCTTGAACTTTGCTCAATATTTATAATATACTATTAACACTTTTCCCTTATTTCTATATATGTATTTATCTTTTAAATATACATTTGTCTATAATCTATATTTTATTCTAGCACTATACATTTATCTTGGCTACCCTCTTATTGTCTATCCAATCATAAAATTGTTCCCAGATTTTATAGTACTTGGTTTCACTTTTGTCCTTGAGTTCCCATGTAAGTCTATCCATTTCAGCGCAATTGAAAATTTTCAATAATATTTCC